AACTCGACAACAAAATTTAAATTGTGTTTTCTAAATCAAATTTTCTTTTCCTAAATAATTACACTTCAAATTTCTATAAATGAACGTACAGATTTTCTCCGAACCATGGATTGTCATAAATACAATATAAAACTATACACTGCTTTTTATGTCATCATAAAATAAACATAGCTAGGCCTATTATTGATAAAATTGATAAAATTGGGAAGACGTGGAGGAGTTATCCAGTCATTTAAACCACTGTAAATATTGATGACAGATAGATACAAATTACATATACATTATCATGACATAAAACAGCACTTCTCTAAGAATTACAGGGTATGCCCGTTTCGTTTGAAAAGAACGAAACACGAGAAATACACTACATGAGCAAGAGGGCCCTTCTGCCGGTGTAATGAAACTGAGGGTCCGTGTAACAGAAAGTCCGCCCTCCACATGGTTATAATGGTTAGGGTTAGCCTGACCAAAGTGGGATAAAATCTAAGGCGAGAATCACCTGTACAAATGAATGGGAAACGGACTCTCCGTTATGGGGGTCTCACTGTCACGTTACACCGGTGTGACAGGAATGGTAGTCCTAGCAATAGAAGTCCAGGGTCCCATATGATTAGTACAGGTTAAGGTTAGTCGGAGTATTGGGTTTGGTATAAAGCATACATGTCACCTGTACAAAGTAGTGGGGAACGAACTATGGATCTTAGCGGACTACCATTCCTAGCTATTACACCTAGCCCTGGAGGTGGACCCTTATAAGCATTACCTTGATACTTATTTACGCCGAAACTTACTAGGAAATAAACACAACAACACGTATAACAGGTCAAAGATAAATTTTATTATATATACATATATAAATATATAATGGAAGATGAAACTGCTCTAGTTAATTCAGTATGATTACTATATATTCATAAATTGGAATGCAAGAAATAAATGCTGAATGTCACCTATATTCCTCATACGATAATAATTAATTGTAAAATAAAGCCTGTGTTTGATTTCGTTCAAAAATGTTTCCAAACTATTACAATATTAACCAATATCTTAAAAAGTTTGGTATTGGAACAATTAATATCAATAAAGATTTAAATCTGGACGGAGAATGTTTTCAGTAATGTTCTTAAAAAGGACGGATAATGATAACACTCACGGTAGGAGATGAAGGTAGACTACAACGCGCAAAACGATGCTGATGTCGAGTGTATTATACAAAAGCGAACTATAAAAGCAAAAAAAATACATGAGAAACAAACAAACTAAACAGAAAAAAAATCCATTTGTACTCGCCCTTCTCTACCACACTCACACTGCTTCTGAGTATTATGCAGTTAAAAAGGGTTGCACTCAGCCGCTTTACTTTTCTCCCAATACAGTAAAATATCAAATGGTTTCTTGAAATCACAGAGCTACACTGCATTGGTGTAATTAACTTTTAAAAAAATATGCAAATTCAGTAGAATCACAATCACAAAATATAATTCTGAGCAATTCTAAAATTGGAAAATACAAAGTTTCCAATATGGCTGTCAAAACCAAGATGGTTACATTTCTAACGATGACCTTCACCAACATAATGGTACATGTATGTGCATAAATGGCATAAAATATTAAGTTGTGCATCAACTTTGTCTCAGAAATTCTAAATGAAACAAAAATAACCAGACAATAACATTAGCACACTACATGATGCATATTTCTATAATACATATAAAAGGATTGGATGACATCATAGAAGGTACAACATATGAAGACATAGGGAGGTCATGAACTTAGCCTAACTAAGCCATGTCCTAATTCAGCTAACACACCCATTTCCAATAAAATAATATCATATAGAATATCAAAATTATCAGAATAAAGTCATGGTGTTTTTCTTGGTTGGTTGGCTCAGTATTCAAGAAGATGATGTCATAGAACAAAATGGAAGCCAGAGAGAAAACTGAGACTTTTAGGAGGGTAGGGCACCTGTTGTCTGCAGCCTTATAAACATTTAGATATTCAAGTCTTTGAAAGCATGCAGAATTAATTTCTTTGTACCCGTTCAGTATTTAGACTGTTAAACATTAAAACTGACTATACTTACACATGTAGGTGATATTTACATGTCAGAAAGTGAAACAGAACATGAAGAATAAAGCTATACACATATAGTTGAGAGTGCATAACATGACAATGACCAAATTTACACTAGTTTGATAAAAATAATACTCTGTGTTAGAAAAATAATTTCATAAGCTTAACATTTACAAGAGGGACCCGAGTAGAGACCCCTATCATTGTGCGATAAAATTTCAAGGATTTATAAATGAAATAAAAGAAAAATTATACAAATAATGAAGAGATCCATTTTTACCATAAATACTCATAAAGGAAACAAATTCCGAATATGGATACGTGAAGAGGCAACAACAAAACGGCACACATCTAGTGAATGAAATCCAAATTATAAATTGCACAAGCAATAATACTAGATAGATGTTTGTTAGAGATAGTGGTTTCACACCTTAAAAGATGAAATCAGCTCTTGACTCTAGGTTACCACTAGCTATAACGTCCAATGCTGCTACTCTGTATCAAATTAATTATGGCAAGTACATACATTATGCATTAGAGGATCCACGGTGCAGAAATTATACAAGGATTGAGAAAAAAATGTCTTTTTCTTTGGATACCACTTGCTTTCTTCCACCAAAATCCAGCATCTCTTGGTTTTATGCTTAATCAGCTTCAAAGACAACACTGAATCGTGTCTACTGCACTCGCCACTGCAGGACAGCCATATCCCTGCCTCCAGTACTGAAGAGTCCACTATCATCTGTGAGGAAGCGTGTGGCCGTGACGTGGCTGCTGTGCCCGCCGTACACGTGGCTTCCAGACTAGAAAACAAACACCACCAACTTAATTGTACCCCTGTATAACGATTTCATGAAGATATATGATAAAAAAATTTATACAAAAATGGATACATGAAGAGGCAACAAATTTTTTTCAATAAAAAAATTTTATACAAAAATTTTTTTATATAAACTCACATACAATTTACAAAAATTTACACACCAGTCAGTTTACCATCTGCAAAAACTAACTGCAACTTGCCACTTTTGCCACTGAGATGTTATCAAGATAATTCATTTTTGTAATCATTTTTATAATGATGTATTCTGGATTGAGATCTGTGAACAAGTTGGTTAACTTTACCTTCTTCTGGTTGGCTGGATACTTGAACAAGTTGACCTTCCCGTCATCGTCTCCGCTGGCACAGATGGCCCGCCTGGTGGCCCTTGAGCAGCCATTGACGTCTGTGCCATCTGCGTCCTCAGGCCACAATCCTACACACACAGGTGAATTTATAAATAATTAGTCTCTATTAATATGTACATTAATTAGTATTCTGAATTTTGCACTTAAAAATCTTTCATAAATATTCATTATCTCTGAATATGGAACAGTTTTTCAAACCAGTTTTGAACATCTTGTAGACATTAAACTAAAACAAATCCTTCATAGATCATACAACAGTAATGTCTTCAAGCATTGTAAGAACCTTAAAGAACATCTTGCCAATGAGGTACTGTAAGAAGAGTGTCTATTTAAGCTTAACCAGAGTATTAAAGGACAGTGTGCAGTACTGTGTGTAATTAAGCTTACCCAGAGTGCTGGAGGACAGTGTACAGTACTGTGTGAAACTAAGCTTACCCAGAGTGTTAAAGGACAGTGTACAGTACTGTGTGAAACTAAGCTTACCCAGAGTGTTAAAGGACAGTGTACAGTACTGTGTGAAACTAAGCTTACCCAGAGTGTTAAAGGACAGTGTACAGTACTGTGTGAAACTAAGCTTACCCAGAGTGTTAAAGGACAGTGTACAGTACTGTGTGAAACTAAGCTTACCCAGAGTGTTAAAGGACAGTGTACAGTACTGTGTGAAACTAAGCTTACCCAGAGTGTTAAAGGACAGTGTACAGTACTGTGTGAAACTAAGCTTACCCAGAGTGTTAAAGGACAGTGTACAGTACTGTGTGAAACTAAGCTTACCCAGAGTGTTAAAGGACAGTGTACAGTACTGTGTGAAACTAAGCTTACCCAGAGTGTTAAAGGACAGTGTACAGTACTGTGTGAAACTAAGCTTACCCAGAGTGTTAAAGGACAGTGTACAGTACTGTGTGAAACTAAGCTTACCCAGAGTGTTAAAGGACAGTGTACAGTACTGTGTGAAACTAAGCTTACCCAGAGTGTTAAAGGACAGTGTACAGTACTGTGTGAAACTAAGCTTACCCAGAGTGTTAAAGGACAGTGTACAGTACTGTGTGAAACTAAGCTTACCCAGAGTGTTAAAGGACAGTGTACAGTACTGTGTGAAACTAAGCTTACCCAGAGTGTTAAAGGACAGTGTACAGTACTGTGTGAAACTAAGCTTACCCAGAGTGTTAAAGGACAGTGTACAGTACTGTGTGAAACTAAGCTTACCCAGAGTGTTAAAGGACAGTGTACAGTACTGTGTGAAACTAAGCTTACCCAGAGTGTTAAAGGACAGTGTACAGTACTGTGTGAAACTAAGCTTACCCAGAGTGTTAAAGGACAGTGTACAGTACTGTGTGAAACTAAGCTTACCCAGAGTGTTAAAGGACAGTGTACAGTACTGTGTGAAACTAAGCTTACCCAGAGTGTTAAAGGACAGTGTACAGTACTGTGTGAAACTAAGCTTACCCAGAGTGTTAAAGGACAGTGTACAGTACTGTGTGAAACTAAGCTTACCCAGAGTGTTAAAGGACAGTGTACAGTACTGTGTGAAACTAAGCTTACCCAGAGTGTTAAAGGACAGTGTACAGTACTGTGTGAAACTAAGCTTACCCAGAGTGTTAAAGGACAGTGTACAGTACTGTGTGAAACTAAGCTTACNAAGGTAGTACAAAAACTGGCTACAGGAATTCTATTTGAGATTTTTGTGCCAAATTGAATTTTCTTTGAGGGAAAATGCTTCTAGTCTAAATTCATTGCTTAAAAATGCCTCGCACTTGGGTTACAATGTTTTATGCAATTTTATAACTTAGTTTTTAATCTGACCAGATGTTTTTACCTTAAACAGCCAAATGTCATCATTAAGAATTCGACGGTCTTCAAAATTTAAGAACATTATGTCTCATTCATTTATCTATTCATTCATCAAATCATCTGTTTAATTATTCAATCATTCACTTAGTCACATTTTGTACAATTTCAAAGGGAGAGTGGGGTCTTTTTAAGGAATATGTGGACATTTTTATTCCAGTACTTACAGTATAGAAGTTCATAATCTCCAGAGTTGGTCTGTATGTACTGTCCATCCATTGACCAGTCCAAGTGAGTGATATAGCTACTGTGACCCTGAGAATATATATATATTTATATATATTAGTTTATTTTTCTTCATATTTTGTTCACTTAGTCACTAGGGAAGCCATGCATTTCCATTTTTTCTGTTTAAGTACTACAGATATTTCAAATGCATCTGACATATTCTCTTCCTCAGCTGAGAAACCTTGGCCACCATATTTTGCCACTTTAAGTTCTATTTTGACTGGCCTAGCTTTAAGGTTGGAATGATTCTTTGTCAAAGAAATGTACTTAAGCTAATAGAAAAGAATTACTCCTGATCATTAAAGCAGGAATGGGATCTTTATTATTTTTCAGCTTTATTTTCAAAATCAGGACATAACATCGACATATTTTGATTACTTTTATCATTTTCATTAAGTCATAGGATAAATAAATTTTCTCAATGTATTCTTGGTACCACATAGGATCAAGGATATTTCAATTTGTATCCATTATTCATCACAAATAGTCAAGTACATCTACAAGACAACCTACCGTGCATCTTCCAATTCTATCAAACTGGTGTCCACTGTCAGTAACATTGTACAGGTACACCGAGTTGTCTCTGGAGCCTACAGCAAGGCGGGAACCATCTGGAAAAGATAAACAATTACATGTAGAGCCACAACAAAACTAGGGCCAGATATGTGTAGAAAATGGGCCTTTTTAATCTGCATACACATTATGCTGTTAGTTCATCCAACTTAGATTAAAAGCACTAAGAGAGATAACTTGTTATAAGAAAGGAGATTTTTATATCATCGCAAGAGAAAACATACCAGTATACCCGTAGTCAACTTTTGATTATATAGTTTAGCTTCAAATAAATAAATAAATAAATAAATAAATAATAAAAATGCAATATATTAAAAACAACAACAACAATAATTTGTCCGGGCATCACTGAGTTGGATGGATACAAAAGCATAATAAAGCTTCAATAATTGAGTTTTAATTATAATCAGTCTGTTGATCTCCTTTAGACTATTTTCAGCCCAAATGCAAACACTGCCCCACTGTAACTTACCAGGAGAGAACTCCACACATTCTATCTGCTCCTTGCCGTCCGTGTCTTCAAAGATGACCTGTCCATTCTGCAGCAGGTCCAGGACCAGCCATTTGGCATCCCTGGTCCCGATGACCGCCACCTCGCCATCAGGGTGGATACAGGCACTGTGGGCCTCCTCCTGGAAATAGCAGTTACAATATGTACAGTAATTGCTCATAAATTTACAGAAAAAAAATAATGCCAATTAAATTAAAAAATTTAATAGCTGTTTCACTAATATTTTGATCTACGGTGATTAATATGACATCAGTACATCAATAAATAAAAAACAAATAAAACATACCAATTAAATTTATTTTAAAATTCCCTTTTAAAATACGAAAAAAAAAAAACCCCACAAAACAAAATATTAGGATAATATATCAGCTGTATCAATGTACCTGTAGCTGCTTGCTCCAGAGGAGTGCATGAGTCTGTGGATCCCACATGTACACGTGCTTGTCGTAGGCGCATGTCAGGATTTGCCCGTTGTGAGGATGGACAGCTATGCCCCACAGCTCATCAGAGTGGCCCTGCAGGATGAAATGGAAAATAAAAATCAAAGTCAAAATGTTAAATAATTTGGTAATCCAATACAAATTCATTACTGATCCAATACTGGCCAGTGAGTTTTAAGATGAGTATAGTATATTATCTGAGAAAAAAATAAAAACTGGTTCAAATATGTATAGTTGGGTTCTAATTTTTTGCTGAGTCTAAATATTTTACTTTTTAAAGGTTGCCTTTAAATCTATAAAAAGGATCATGAATAAAACTAAGATATGTTTATCAACACGGCCAGCTTCATTCAAAATAAAAGAATCACCATCAAAAGCACAGTCATGATATTGATTTTGATATCTGTAATTTTCCAATATGTTGGCTTTATAAACCTAAATATAATTTTTACATAATGAATTATCAATCTGAAAAAATAAGAAAAATATACATCAAATGTCTAAAATGTCCCTGAAATATTCCAATCAAGCTGTACAGAGAAAAAGAGGATTCATGCATTTATTTTAGTGTGTGTGTGTGTTTGCTCACACCAATCACTATCTGCTGTATTTATTTTCCCTTAATTAAAAATATAGTTTTTTTTTATTAAAAAAACAGAAACATATTAAAAAATTTAAGAATGCTGCATTACATTTCTCGCATCATGTGATATCTCAATAACTGAGACAATATGACCAAAAAATATTACAATTCCTAGAAATCATAAAATACTTATAGGCAAAATGTATAAGCTATTATGCATAATTTGGCCATATACAATGCCCTTCACCTTCATGCAAATACACGTACCTGGTAGCACATTTTTACCTCTGTGTACCTGACATATTTAAATATTTTATACAGACATAAATATAAATATCTGTATAAAATACAAGGCATGCAATACATAATTACAAGACTAGATAGGTTTACAAGAAGAGAGCGATTCCCCTTTCCATACTCCAAAATGGCAAGTAGCCTTTTATGCTATCTTGCATATCTTCTATGAAAACATTTACACAGTAGAGAATAACCAAGAAGAATGGCATGCATCAGCTCAAGAGGTCACAGATATCATTGTTTGTGTCTATCATATATATTGCTGCTCACAATATGTACATTGTAATTTTTATGTTTTAAAATATTGTCTTCTCCTTGGACCTGACCCAAGATGTGTTCAATACCGATCATACTTAAACTGAAAATGAAGACGCCACTTGAGTTTTTAAATGTTTTAGCTGGGCAGGCACTTAAAGCAGTCAAAACTGAACTAAATGCTCAAATTGTCTGTTATAAGGTCTTGATTTCGTAAACTGTTGTTTTTCTTAAATTTTTATTTCTTAGGGGATATGTGCATGTTTAAACCATTGGCAAGCAGCATAAACTTATGGCTATATTTGTAGATCTACAGAAGAAAGAATTAAAGTAACACATTTCACCTGTGTGACCATGACTACCACATCACTGGGTGAATCCTTTGGATCCAAAATAACAAATACAAAATACGAAATATAAGCTACTAGAATAAATGAAAATGTAAAACTGTTAAAAAAATTTGAAAAAAAAAATAAAATAAATAAACACACTGATTACCTGTGTCACTAAATTGAGATGCTTAACCACAATTTCCTTTAAAACAAAACATTAAATAACGTAAAACCTTTAGAGGCACTGTTTACAACAAACGCTTCAACTTGTTCAATATACAAGTACATATATACACATATGTATCACCCTTCCTATAATTACAAAATATATTCAGAAAATAAGACGTGATGACATTGTATTCCTGAATCAGCCAGTAAATATAATGAAATGTACCATGTTAATGCCCCTCACTAAATCATTACCAGCTGTCATTGGGAGAGTATTGCCTAAAAAAACATCTACACGCTTTGCAAATCATAAATATAAATAAACACCAAATGTGCACAAAATTCTCTTTAATTTTAACATTAATTACTACTTAGTTTTGATTTGTTATAATTTTGACATTTCTTGTCCCACCATTTTAATCAGACTAAGGCTGCATTCGCAACCAAAGTTAAACCAAAGACTAACAGATCTGTGTATCAAATATGGCCAACCCACTTAAAAACTTGCTGCAAAATCCCTGCAGGGAATCTATTCAGTGTCTTTTAGGGGATTATGGTGCCAGCTTTCAAGTGGGTTGGCCATATTTAATCCGCAGATCTGTTAGTCCCTGGATCAACTGGTTGTGAATGGGGCCTAAGTCATATTCCATGACATATGAAAAGATGTGAATATTTAACAGAGACAAAGGGGTGGAGGACTGCCTGTGGAACTGTCTTTTTAAAATTTCACCAAACGAGTGCACCCTTACCTGTGTAAGAGGGTCAAACTTGGCCAACTGACCCAGGGTACCGTGGACAATGGCGTTCTCTGTGGTACCAATGAAAATGGAACCTTCGGGCCCTGGCTCCAACATCCTGACTGGACCGAAATCTTCTGGAACCTGTACATACACGAAAGAAAAATATGAACATTTTGAACACATTTGTTTCTCTAAAGAGGGTTACAATTTTCTAAAATTTCTTGAAAAGCTCTTTTGATAATATGAGGTAGTTTTTATAATCAATAAACATTTTACAATTATCAATCACGTATTTGACCATCTTCCAGACTGAGAAACTAAAAACTGTATAACTAACTTTGAATTTTGGAAAAAAACAGTCAGTTTAGCGAGATGGATGCAAATCAAAAAGGTGGACAATGTCAAATTCTCTACAGACTTTGTACAACTGTCAATTAATTTTGATGACTGGATCCTGACTGACTGCCCATATGTAGCCCCACTGTCCATCCAGCATCATTTTTACCTGTATTTCCAAGTCCTGCTTGTTGTACTCCGCGTCCCATTGCCATATCTTGCCATCTCTCCCACCTCCAGAGACAAAAGAACCATCTGGGAGACGCGCCAGACCAAACACTGGCCCCTCGTGGGCATCATGTATAGCCTTGATAACTTTTCTGTCATCTGGAACAGAGGATGTTCACAAATTAAGTCACATAGAAAACTTTGCCAATACCCTTGGAATAAAAACTTAATTATCTAGTCAATGAGTCTTGTAATAAAAGCAGGCCCATACCCAGGGAGGCTTTGAGGGGTTTAAAAGAATCCCCTTTTTGCCAGAAAAAGGTCCCATCTGGTTAAAGTTTTATCTATGTTAATGAGGGGTTTCATGGTAAAAGGTCTACTTTTTCATGAAAAGAACTCCCCTTTTGAAAATGCCGGCAGGGGGCCTGAAAGAAACATACATAAAAGGAAAGTTCTGATTTAATGGAGTTGTATAATATTATATTATAATCTGTCATACCTTTAGACCAGACAAAAATATTCCCTTCTGTGTCTCCAGTGACAACATCTCCATTCTCCGCAAAAGTCAGGCAGACAACAAATGCAGGGCGCTCATTATCCTGAAAAGAACATGACCATGATTTGCAGAACTGACTGAGACTGACAAATATTTCTAACAGTATATACTCTGTTAAAGTTGATAATAATTAACACTACTGAGTCATGCAATTATTGAAATTAAATTTGAAAAAAAAAATTGCCTGGACTTTGTACTGTGGTCTAGAGGGTACAGAAAACAGTTTCAACAATACAAAACGCATGAATATAACTGTGGTGTGTCATGTTACATCTTGTTGTGTCATGCCACATCATGCCACATCATGTCATGTCATATTGCCATAATGTATTTGGTAACATTACGTTACGCTGCATGTTATCACTTGTGTCAATACCTCAAAGAGTCCCATTTTCTTGTCTGCCTGTCCGTCTTCTATCTCAAAGAAGAGCACCTGCTGCTTGCCGCAGGCCACCACAGTGTTCTCCATGGGGTGGAACTCCACTTCACAGATAGGATCAGGACAACTCTGAAAGTTATATCACAATATTGTGGCATTACAGATAGGATCAGGACAACTCTGAAAGTTATATCACAATATTGTGGCATTACAGATAGGATCTGGACAACTCTGAAAGTTATATCACAATATTGTTGCATTACAGAAAGGATCTGGACAACTCTGAAAGTTATATCACAATATTGTTGCATTACAGATAGGATCTGGACAACTCTGAAAGTTATATCACAATATTGTGGCATTACAGATAGGATCTGGACNGAAAATACCATGAAAATATTGAGAAATTAGGATCAGGACAACTCTGAAAGTTATATCACAATATTGTGGTATTACAGATAGGATCTGGACAACTCTGAAAATACCATGAAAATATTGAGAAATTAGGATCAGGACAACTCTGAAAGTTATATCACAATATTGTTGCATCACAGATAAGGGAAAGATGCCTCACTTTACTTTGTCTGCAGTAGAAAAATTATGGAAACTGACAGAGGAAATTGAGACCAGTGTTCACATGCACAATGTGAAGACAATTAAAATTTAAGAACAGCTTGAAACTGACCCCATGGTCTGAGAGCTGGACAACTGGACAACCATATCTGTGTGTGTGTGTGTGTGTGTGTGTGTGTGTGAGTGTGTGTGTGTGTATGTGGACATGCACATGCATGGGTGTGTGTTACCTTTTGCTGCAGGAGCTTCTTCTCATTCTTCCAATCATAAAGCAGCAGGGTGTGGTCGTTGTCATCATCAAATGCAGCCAGCAGCTCACCGCCATCCTGAAATTATACATACATTTAGACCCCATTCTCATAGATTTTGGAGCGATATATCCCTGTGGGGAGTCTCACTAGTTTACTGTCAGCTTAGCCGGCTTAAGCGTCTGTCCAGCCTACTAAAAGCTGTAAGGGGGTAATTAACTGTGGTGCGCGCTCGGCTGACTGCAATTTAGCGTGAACCACCAGGAAGTTAGGTCGATCTAAATCTAAATTTCTGGATCGATCTAAATCTCTGGAAATGCACCCTTATTTAAAGCTGCTGCAATTATTTTTAAATTTCAAACACTTAAGTTTTATCTTTTATCTGATATCTAGTTTTCTCATTTTCAATATTTGCAATAATTTACCTGCTGACTAAAAATCAAGTTTATTCCATACATTTCTTTTTTTCACACTGACACTTGGAACTAAAACACTTACAAATCTCGAAAACGCCACACAGGCAACGGCGATCTCAAAGTCCTTCAGTCCAATCACATGTAGTGTCTCCAGAGTGTCCGAGCTCCAGATTCGGACATGCGGCTGACCCTGCTTCTCAGCGTGTCCCTCCACCTGGCCTGTCACTATGGTCACTTGGTCAGGATGGACAGCAAGACTGAACAAAGAAAACAGTGATCAGCACAGAGTTAAAACCATTTTTTCCTTTTTGATTTGATATTCAAAAGGAACCATTGAAAACAAATGGCAGAATCATGCACAAGGTATCTCAATTAGCTGAAAATGACTCATCATTTGGACAGTTACTACTTTTTTTGTTGTGTGTAGTTGCTATTGCTTCTGCCTGTTTAACATCATTTAAGATATTATTTCATATAAATACATGGTCTTGACTTATGGTCACTTAGAAATGGTTAGCAAAAAGTGTATTTAACAAAATTAGCTGGAAACATCATTAAAGTTCCACGAGAAACATTCTCATGCTAATACAGAAAGAAGAGTTGCCAACTTTAACATGCAAAGAGATATTTTCACATTTACAAAATTGGCAACTCTGAGAAAGATGATGCTGTACTTCACGACCGGATACTATAAAAAATCTTGAACCCTTTAAAATTTTCACACATCTCTAGGTCCACTCACCACTTGATATCATCAGTGTGGTCCAGGTAGTGGCGCTGGGTCTTGGTCTGGACATTGTACAGTACGGCCACTGCCGCCATGTGGTATACCAGCTCTCCCGATGGCAGGTAAAACATGTTAGACCTGCAGTCTTTGCCGCGATAGCCATACCTGATAGCCAGTCAAGGAATGTGCTACTGTGTCATTTTGGACAGACAGAGAATGGAGGTGAAAAAGATGTTGGATAATCATAATGAAATGTGAACAAGTTTTTATTTAGTCAGCTTGTAAGCAATGGAACCAGCAGGCCTGTGTATATGTTCCTCTCTCTCTCTATCTCTCTCTCTCTGTGACATACACAAACAAAAAACAAACACACTTTCTCTCCAAAGCATATTATAACTAGCATGACCACAATCACACATCACCAGCTTCCAAATCTTTTAAAAAGGAAAACCCAGGAAAACAGAACATGAAATCAAAACAATGGTGATTTAATATACAAAAACTTTAAAAAATATAACACAAAACAAACAGTGAATTCTCTGTCAGTCAAGGATACACCCACTCCAGTTTCAAGGTCTCCTCTGGTGCAGGAAGCACCTGATCCAGCTCGTAGTTGTCACAGTTTGTGGGAGCATGCAGTGAGATGGGCCGGCCACGGATGTAGAACCTAAGCATTCCAGTCTCTGGAAGCAGGCAAAGAGGCAAATACATGATGATTGTGTGTGTTAAATATTATGAGGCATACTAAAGACTCNATAAAAAAGTGTGGCCTTACATGACATAAAGACTTCTCAAATTTGTAGCAATTTGGGTGGAATTCTCACAGTGTGTAGCAATATGGTCTTTCGAAGTTCCATGCACCTAATCTCAAACCCCATCTTCTTCAACTATTATTATTATTATTATTATCAGCAGCATGTACCTGGGTTGAATGTGACAGATCCATTCTTGCTCTTCTTGTCTTTTGCTGCCCTCTTGTGGGAAACTGGCTTTGTTGGAATGGCTGCCTCGTTCTCTTTCTCTTTCCTTTCTTTCTTTTGTTTGTGTCTGGTACGATACCTAGAAAAGAGAATTGAATTAAACAAAGTTAACATTATCCTTCCTCTAAACAAAGATGTTCTTTAGTATCACTTTCAAACTGCAGTCTCCACGGCTCCATAAAAATTAAAGCTGGTATAAAAAGTTATTTGTGGGCATTTTTTTAAAAAATAAAACTATGGTTAAATGTTAATTGCTCTCTTAATGCTTGTGATGCAAGAAATGATACATTTTTAAACCTGGACAAAAAGTATCTGGCTAAACACATCCTAGATATATTAGAAAAATATCAATAAATAAAATGACTTTTTTTTAAATAATGAGAATAAAATAAATAAAATAAAATTAGTTGACAATTTAACTAACTTTTAACTGAAATGCCAAATAATGCCATCAGATAACCCCTAGATTATGCAGTGGCCCCAAATTCCCATGACTTTCTTAAAGCCATCAATAATTATGATAAGCTGAAAGCCATTTGGTAACATCAGTCAGTCAACTGTTACTTTATTAATTGCACATGTCTCCAATGCTGGACAACATGTAATATTCATGGTCCAAGATTGGGTTCCCACAACAGGAGAACAGCTGAGGTGATCATGATCTTGGACAAACAATTTTGTTTGCTTATCGCCAAGTGTCTATTATTATGGGTCGATTTGTTTATCGCAAGGTGTATATTGTATGCATGTTTATAACAGTGTGTGTGTGACATGTGATGCTGGCACTAGCGTGTGTGTGCTGGCACTAGCGTGTGTGTGTGTGTGTGTGTGTGTGTGTGCTGGCACTAGTGTGTGTGTGTGTGTGCGTGCGTGCGTGTGTGTGTGTGTGTGTGTGTGTGTGTGTGTGCTGGCACAAGCGTGTGTGTGTGTGTGTGCATGCGCGTGTGTGTGCTGGCACTAGCGAGTGTGTGTGTGTGTGTGTGCGCGCGCGCGCGCGCACGCGCTGGCACTAGCGTGTGTGTGTGTGTGTGCATATGCATGTGTGCGTGGTGTGTGTGTATGTTTGCCCACCTCTGCATATAAAAACACGTTTTAATCACCAGGAATATATTTGTTTACAGGTGTGGATTTGTTTACATCTATACTGGGTCAGTATATCGCCAGGTGTGTGTTAGAAACTGTGACACCAGGTGACTGCGGAAAACACATGTGCGGGCGGAGGCGTGTGTCATCCTCGGAACACCGATCAATCACCACCGCAACCAATACTACTTCACTGAATAAAACATTCTTGGTAATGCACCGTTGCTCGCCGAGTGCCCCAACTGGCATCAATCATATGACAGCCAGTAATTCAATATAGATAAGACAAACACAGTATGTCTCATATATCAATGACAACAGCATCTATCTAACTTTAAGATAAAATATGGTGTCATGCGTGGAATATTGAATTTGTCCATCTGTTATCTCAAAGATGACTAAATCATGTGGCATCATATAATGGATTGGTTACATTTGTAAGTAAACAACTCGGGAATGGATTTCTAGAAACAAACCTATTTGTGTTAAGGTCCCCATGCAATGTAAAAAATAAATGAATGAAAATCAAACAGATTTAAATATATTTATGTACAAGCTACAACTAAATGGTTTAGTACGTCTTGCAAATGATCTTATCTTTTTTGTCTGAACTCAGTTATTTTTTTAGCCATCTGATATATATAGTTTGACCAGAAAAAAAAGTAGAATGTATAACTTAAAGCACCATACTAGCTAAATATCAAGAAACCAAAAAGCTGTTCCCAGTTTTAGATAACTTCAACTCACTCGTCCTCGCTCTTCTTGCCATCTTCTGAGCCGCTCGTGGAATTCATGCCATCTTTTTTGTATCTGGCTTTGATTGGGGGTAGCTTTCTGTGGAGAGGAAATGAAACATAAGACTGGGTTCCCATACTTAAATTGATCCATCTGGATCGACCTAACTCCCTGGGGGTTCACGCTAAATTGCTATCAGCTCAAGAGCCTTAAACGTCTGTCACGCCTACCGAATCAGCTAAAGGTAAAGATAATAACCCCCTAACAGTTTTACTAGGCGTGACAGGGCTCCCCAGGGAGATAGATTGATCCAAATATCTGTGGGAATGGTCTCAAAAGGTACTGTAATGACTGCAAACCATACTGTATTGTTACTTAATTTTGTAACCTGGGTTTCAGAGTCAAAAGGCAGCATATCTCTATAGCCAGTACTAAAACACTACTTGTCTGCAGTACTGTGAAACTCAGGGGGATATAGACTGATATGAAAGACATCAAATATCTCTCTCCTACAACATAAGCTGACACACAGACACATATCTCTATAGCCAGTACTAAAACACTACTTGTCTGCAGTACTGTGAAACTCAGGGGGATATAGACTGATATGAAAGACATCAAATATCTCTCTCCTACAACATAAGCTGACACACAGACACATACACACACACATCATGAACAGAACCCAAACACTTACTGGTGTTGGCTGTTCTCTATTTTAGTAGACAGGTTCAAAGGAGGCCTTATTTGTCCATAATTTTCTTGCTTTACAACCTTCTCATTTCCCACGGCATCTTACAACAGAAGCTGACATACACACATGCGAGCACGCACACACACACACACACACACACACCATGAACAGAACCAAAAACTTACTGGTGTTTGGTGTTCTCTACTTTAGTCGACAGGTTCAAAGGAGGCGGTCTTTGTCCATAATTCCCGTGTTTTACGACCTTCTCAACTCCCACAGCCACGTATTTCTGCCCGTTTTCCAGCATGCGGGGATCTTTTATCTCCTCGTACGTGTCCACAGCATACAGACTATAATACATATAATATACATTGTATATATACATATAGTGCATTATAATGAAATAACAACTTCATACAAGTTTTAAGTTTCTGGGCTAGGTCATTCATAAAGAGTTATTCTTATGATTAAATTTACCTCACTTGTGAAATAACACAAAACGTTTGATTGCTTTCTTCAAAATAAAATTTTCATAGTGTTATTTGGAAACAATTTTTTTCACTCAAACAAAAATTATGCATACTAGTAATAATAATAAAAAAAAAGATCTAAAATGGCTGCCAAATAAAAAATGGAGACTGACCAATCAGCATTAATAGGGTGAGGGAGTCACCTACCATTCATTAATGATGTTGAAATAATTGAATTATCAACAACCTATAAAATGTGTTTAAAAATATTACCTAGATTCATGTAATAATGGTAATACTTCACAAATAATTGACCTGTTGCACCAGAATAAATCAATTTTCAAACTCGTTTTCCTTATCTGTATCTTTTAATAAGAATTAAATAAAATCAAGCCACATACTGCCTGATGGCTGCTGCTGTCGAGAGGCGGACATGCTCCGCCAGCGCATCTAGTACTCTGCCCATAGTCGGCAGATTGCTCATCTGGAGCAGCACATTACTTTCCTCGCTGAATTTACCATTGGGGTACACACTGAGGAATAAAAGAAAATTATACAGAAAAATATACACAGCAATTAAAAGATGGACTTATCACATTGGAATGAACAAGGGCAGGGAGTATGTAAAAATTGCTTTAAAATTTGGCAAAGCATGGGATCATTCCCTAGAAAACTATCGTTCTACATAGATCGTTCCAACTCCATGCATGGGGACTCTCACTGAATGTAATCAGATTAGCAATTTAACTCCTACTGTCCTACTCTTTTTTCCAACATACAATGCTTGTATAATCACCAGCTTTTCTGTATTCTACTCAGCGCCAGGAGGAGGCGTATTTATCGGCTAATCTGACTGCATTCAGCTAGAGTCCCCTTGTTGGATCAATCTACGTAGAGTGACAGTTTTATTGGGAGTGAGCCCTCTGCCTTAAATTACCCAACTTTAAATTAAATTCCTTTAAATTACCCAAAGTTACCCAACCACGAGCTTTAACTGACCACCACTTACAAGATACGACAAGTTGCCCTGGAAATCTTCCTTGCTCTGCCTGACACAATAAGCCTCTTGTTGTGATACACAGGGGGAAGCACCTGTAAGACAGGGAAATAAATGAGTCAGCATAGGTACACAACACACACACAATAACCTTTCATACTGTTGAGATGTCAGTCTATGACCCCGTTCCCCATACCTTGATCGATTGAACAAGATCAAACTACCTCTGAGGATATTTTTCACTAAATTGCATTCAGCTTAAGCGGCTTAGATGTCTAACACACCTACCTAAACTGCTAAACGATAGTAATCACCCCCTAACAGCTTCAGTAGCTGCTTAAACGAAGTGCAATTTAGTGGGAAACATGGAGATGGGTGGATCCTGCTAGATCGAACTAGGTATGGGAATGGGGTCATCTTCATTTCTATCACAGAATCCCTGCCATCAGAAACTATACCCTTTCAAGCAATGGCAAAAGAATTCATGTACAATAGGGCTATGCTACAAGCAAAGATCTATATTATGCAGAACTAACAATCACAGATAAAATACATAATATAATTACAGTTTACATTTCATCTAAGAACTCAATAATTATGACTGAAGGTAACATTTATAAGCTTTCTACAAATTGGTTAAAAAATACTTTCTTAAAACGAAATCTGAAAATTTATAAACATTTTGAGAATCTTATGATCTATGCAAATTTTACATGAATCCTACAACACAGCATAAAAATAATAATGACAAAACAAAAACAAAAAAGACCACAACGGACTTGACATGGAAGATAACATAAAAAAGCAGTAGATTTTTTTAAACATGCAATAAAGAGGTGGAAAAAAATTCTTAGAGAGATGCAATACACTTAGAACCAAAAAAATAAATAAAGGTACATATTTTGGAATCACATCAACATAATCTATTTAATCAAACACCAAAATCAGTATTTCTAAAGAAAATGTAAGAAGTCTCAAAACTTTTCAACTCAAATTTATTACTACTCAGGCCCCTTTTTTTAAAATAAAGCTACAATTTTTTTTTACCAAACACCAAATTCAACATATCTCTAGAAAATGTAAGTTTCAAAACTTTTTCCTGTCAAAATCACTACTCAGGCCAGTTTTTTCTTTTTCTTTTCTTTCTTTCTTTCCTTTTTCT